TGTCACTTTGCTGCTACTCTGTAATCATCATATTGCAGCTCTCACGTCTTTCCATTTGCTGCTACTTTGGCAGCTTGAACACCACAACTCTAACATAAGGAACTAACGACCTCTGGCATTTCCAACTACCACAACACTTCCATTTGGCTTCTCTAGAAACATACAGAAAGTCCCAGTTCTTGGCTCTAGCTCTTCTCCATCTGAAACCATCCACTATGATAAGTTCCAAGAGATTCTTCAAGATTGCAAGGAATTGGCAGAAAGTAACTTCCATGAAGAGGAAGAGAATTGTGCTACCACTCCTAGCTGATAAAGGTTATTTTTCAATTTACACTATTGATAAAAAAACGCTTATTGATTCCATTGGAGTATCTTAGCGATAGGATTTTCGGTGAATTTCTAAAAATGTCTGAAGAGTAATTTGGATTTTCGGAAGATAGAACTATATTACATTGCCTTGTGAGTCACAAATCATGGAGTACATAATCTTCTTGATCAAACGTGGTGCGTCTAAAGATCTAGAGAAAGTTTTGCTTGTCTCTGTAGCTCTGCTCCTCTCATATCATTTCCACGAAGCACATAATGTGCAACAATTACTTGTTTGCAGCTATTAGGTGAATCAGACCTCTCTGTATATGATCAAAGCACTTTTTGCTTTTTGTATTTTTTATATTGACCTTTTAAGAAATTGTAAATCATTGAAATTACAAAAGAAAGCTATACTTTTGAAATTTTTTAGTTGGAAAAAATGTTCATTTTGAGTATCACCATATAAGAAAAATACATTCGAAGGTGTTAGGTGAAGGTATCATCGGTAGAAATTCAGCAGAAGTTGGATTCCTACAGAAAATGTTTCCTTGGCTAAAATTTCCTTGGAGAAGAAAATTCAATTGGCATCATTTGAGCTCCAGATCCTTGAAAATCAATCTCAGTTCATGAAAATGGGGTCCAACATGCTTCATTCTTCTACCAAGTGCCTAAACAAGCACATTGAGCTCTGTCGACCTTTGTCTTTCAATTATACTCGGTTTTTGTGGTGCAGAAAGATTGTCTGGAACCTGTAACTGTGAGCCTTATAATTGAATCCTATTGTCATAGAAACTACTTGGCATACAGATAAGGACACAATCCAGTCTGTATGTGCGCCACCTACATATCATGTATTGATTTTCAAAGAGAAGCAAACATGCCCACCTCTCAAATATCCCCACCACCTTGCATCTTTATCTATATTCACATGGTATTGCTTCCTTGAGAAATTGCATGGGACAATTTCATTAAAGGGACTGTCTATGGATTTATGGATATATAATCATACCCCTTCAATTCCCCCAACTGCAGAACAGCAATAGCATCAATTGCCTAGGAATCTCACAAATCTCCTTCTTTCCTTACTTTCAAAACTTAATTTTCCTTTAGTACCAAGATGATCAGTTCAAGGAAGCTCATCAAATTGGCTAAGAAGTGGCAAAGACTGGCTACAATAAGGCGAAGGAGAATAACATTGCCAAGGATTGACACCAATATTGCAAATGCAAACAGTTGCAGGACATGGAAGTAAGTAATGCTTCCTCTACTTCTTCAGTCAGATGGCTTTTAATAAAAGAAATCACATATTCCATGAAATCTGCATCACAAGGCAATGTGAGAGGTCCACTGCTTGCAGTCCCAAACTCTTCTTCTGCCAATCTGAATAGCTCTTTGACCATATCTTTGTGCAACTCATCATCTTGTACACCAATTACTAGAGTGAATATTAGTTTTGTCCATGTTTGGTTGTTTTTCACTTTGACCATTAGTACCAAATGACCTCTTTTTTTCATATCATAGAGATATATGTATATGTATGGTCCTCTTTTTTTCTTAATTTCTCTGCAGCTATCTCTTGTTTTCTTAATTTTTCTAGGCTATTTTAAAATTTAAATTTAAAATTTTCAACTTTAAATTTAAAATTTTTAACTACTTTAACAATTCATAACAAACTACTTACGGTAATACTAAATGAACTTTACAAAAAGATAAACATGTTCTCCAAGTTTTGGGCCATAAAGCCTCTTATTAATTATATAATTATGAGTAATGATAAAAAAAAGATTAATTTTATTATAACAAAATTTAAAACTAATAATATGATATCGGTTATGTAATTTAAAATATTAAAATGCATATTATATATTATTTAATAACTAACTCTTTTTATTTTATTAAAATTTATAATATTATATACACTATCTCACTTAATAATATGATTTATATCACATTTTGATTTTAAATTTTTGTGCTCCATATCACTACTCTACAACTATTATACATCAAATAATCTCCCATATGCATAATAATCCACTCATTAATTGGTGGTGGAGATGTTCGGCTCTGTTGGAAAATGGCTAAATGTAATATTTAGTTTATTAACCATGAGCTGATATCAATTTAGCCTAGAAATATTTTCTTTTTCCCTAACGGGTCTAGGAAGTATAAAATCCACATCGAATTCATCTTTTCCATCCCAATTCCGTTTGTTTTTTTTATTAACAGAAGTCCAACCACTCACTACATTTCACGAAGTAGACTGACACGTGGGTTCCACGCGGCAGAAAAATTGTCTCAAACCTTCAAACTTTTTTGTGTCTTTTTTTTTTTTTTGGGCCAGCGTTTGTTCTCAAGTTCATTATACATTTTTGCCTTATTTTTTTAATTTTTTTTGTTTTTGTTTTTTATGGTATTAATTTTGGATTTTTGGTTTTTATGGTTTTTAATTTAATTATTAATAATAAAGTATAAGTTATTTTGGCCTCAAGGCATCCACATGCCAGTCTTTGTGCCATGCAGTGACACCGTGGAGTTTCGTTAAACGGAAAACGAAATTTGGATGGAAAAGATCAATTTGACAAGGATTTTATGCTTTCTAGACCAAATATGCAGGAAAAAATCTTTCTAAACCAAATTGATATTAGGTTAATAGTTACCAGACTAAGCATTAAATTTAGCCAAACCTTTGATGTAGAAGGATATTATTGATGAGATACGTTCTAGATGTTTTAATTTTTTATTTTAACCTTCATTTTATTACTATTTTAATGGGTAGAATGTGATTTTTAATGAATTTTACATTATTTTCATTCTTCATGCAATAAAGGATTTGAACGCATAATAATAGAGTTTCTGGACTTAAGTAGATATCTTTTCAAAGTTCAGATATTATGTTGTAAGAAGAAAAGTGGAAATCATGGACTTTAAAGAATGAATTTGAAGTTTTGGGATTAAAATGATCATAAAGTAGAAGCTAAAGGACCACATGTGCAGTCTACCATTGAGGAAATTGCAAAAAAAGGCATAAAACCCGACACGGGTTGGGTATTGAGACTACCTTTGCAGATGTCGACACCATTCGTTAAGATCTTGGGGAATGCGTGTCAGGTGAAATTCGAAAGTAGAAGTGTAGACACCCAAGCAGCTTTTAGAAATTTTACTTTTAAGTCTCCATTTTTGACACGAGTCCTACTTTTTTAGTATGGTTTTCTTAAACTCTATAAACATCCCTTTAAGACCAGATCTTGGAAGATTTTCAAGCTAAAGAGGGGGGTAACAACGAAAAACTCAACATCAAAGAAGATAAATATTTAATCAAAATAGTTTTACTTTTTTAGAGTATAATGTATTTTTATTTATTTAATTTTGTATAAAATATAAGTTGCATTAAGAGTTGTTTTTTTAACAACCTTTTTTATACAATACCTCATAAAAATATTAATTTATTATATTTAAATTAATTTTAATTAATATTTTGTATAATTTAGTGATTATACTTATGTTTAATTAACTTTTTATAAAACAGTTACCAAATAAAAATATAATTTTTTAAATAATAAAATATTAAAAAAATTCATAATTACAGCATTTCATAATAATTCTATATACAACCATTATAGATTAATATGTGAGAATAAATCTGATATCTTAAGAAAATGTATAGAAGAAAAAAGTCATGATATCTTGTTGTTATAAATCTTGGTGTCATTTAATTCAATTTGTTTATTTGTTTAATTCATTAGTTCTCTCAAAGTTTTTAATTTTAATTATTTGAATAAAATTATAATTAGATAATTTTGATACTTAATTAGTTAGGTTTTTGTGAGTTGATACTCAATTTTTATTATTATATTACTTAAAATAATTCGAACTTTTGTCCTAATCAATACTTGTTAATTACTAATTTTAGCAAATGCTGATTAATTTGGATGTAACTTGAAATTTTCTTTATGCACGACATAGGATACACCATTCACATACTTGTAACCCATTATATAGGTGTAAAATCTAAATCCTATCAAACATGTCCTACAAATTCGTAACATTAGGCCGATGATGTATTCTGGGGATAAGATTATAAAGCATGACAACCTGAAGATAATGCATAGCCCTTAAATCAGATGAGAGGACAACTGGACAAAGCCTACCGGTTCCTGTATCTCTAACATCATAAGCCCTCCATTCCAAGCTTCCTTTGGACCCCATTTTTTCTTGTTAGGTAAGTCCATCCAAAATACGTCATGACAAATAGGACCCCATGATGCCACTACCATCCGGCAGAGCATGTATGGATTGCCTAATAGAACACGAGCACATTCACTCTGACACTTTGGCCTAATTGAATTATCATGTACAAATGAAACCAAACAGAGAGTACCAATTTTAAAGAAAGCCTCACACTTGCCTTTCCTTCCAAACAGGACCACTTCCACATTATACCAAATCACATGGCTTGTTTCCCATGAAGCCCTGCATATTAAAAGGACCGTCTTTGGCTTCGAGAATATATATGTTGATTGAATCCCCTTGCCTTCAACACAGCAAAACAATAGCATTCAGTAACTAAAGATCTTGAACCCTCTTTCTAGCTCTCCTCTACCATCCTGGAGCAAGAAGATGAGTAGTGCCAAGAAGCACATCAAGTTGGCAAGGAAATGGCAACATATGGTTGCCATTCGGCGAAGAAGAATCTCATTTCCGAGAACCATTGGAGAGGTTGATGCAGATTGTTGTAGCACATCATCAATGGTTGAGAAGGGTCACTTCGTCGTGTATAGTGCTGATCAAAGGCGCTTTGTGCTTCCTCTTGAATATCTTAAGAACGAAATTGTTAGAGAACTGTTTGAATTGGCTGAAGAAGAATTTGGATTGCCAGGCAATGGACCTCTCATATTGCCTTGTGATGCAGTTTTTATGGAATATGTGATTTCTTTGATCAAAAGGCGTGCCACAAAAGATGTGCAGAGAGCAGTGCTCATGTTCATCTCTAACGGTCGCTGCTCATCATCTTTATGTCTCCACCAGCCGTTAACAACCCAGCAGTTACCAATCTGTAGTTTCTAATTTGATTTTGTAGATGTATCATATCTCTGTACATTATGGATAATGAAAAATTAAGGCTATTTTCATATCTGGTCTTCTTAGCTCTTACTTCTTTTTAGAGAACTATTCAAATTAGCAGACGAAGAATTAGGACTGCCGCGGAACGGACCTCTCATATATACCCTTGAGATGCAATCATTCTGGAATATGTGATTGCTTTGATCAAAAGGCACATCACAAAAAATGTTCAAGGAGCTCTTTGCTCATGTCCATAACTAGCAATCGATGCTTGTCATGTTCACATCTTCATCAACAGGCAACAACCCAGCAGTCACTAGTTTCTAGGGAAAAATAGATGTTAGATACATAATATATTTAGGTTAAGAATACATATACTCTCTAATTCAATATATTTTATAATTTATTAATTAAAAAATTATTTATTTTAAATTTAAATTAAAAAATTTAAAATTATATATTTTAATAATTGAATTGATAAATATTAATAAATGTATGTAGTAAATAAAAAATATACTCATTATTACCTTTTAAATTAATTATATAAAGGATTTGAAATCATAAATTTCTATTTTGTCCCATCTTTATCCTCAAATTATAGAATTGAATTTAGGGCATATCTAAGTCCCTCTTCACTAAAGGCATGATTCGAAATTAATCGATTCATAACTTCTTCTTCTTTTTTATCTTGATCCGTTGGCTCCATAATTCAAAGTTTCCATGTGAATTATAGTACTACGTGCCATTCTATAGTAAGTACCCGCTTGTTTTCAAAGTGTACTCATTACATCCATACCGGTAACTTTAATTATTCCAACCCACGTCATGGATGTAAGGTTGACTTTTATAATAGATCAATTCTGGAAGGGTGTGGCTATTACGTATAGAAGTGTTAGAGTCATCCCAACTCACGTTATGGATGTAACATAATGTTGACTTATATAGTGGATCAATTGTAAAAGGAGTGGTACTGTCATAAATAAAAAATATATATATTGGTGTCACAGATTTTTTAATATATATTTAATTTTATTTAATTTAATTATTAAAAATAATTAATAATTAAAAATAAATAATATTTATTAACTAACATATTAAAATTAATCAATAAATTGAAATATCTAAATACCTTAATTAACTTTTTAAGAAAAAAAATGACATTCTTGTTGCCCAATGGTTTTGTGCGCGAGAATAACCCCACCCTAACAATTTGGTTTTTGCTTTTTGAATTTCAGGATTTGCCCATGATTTCAATCTTTGTTCTTTACAATTTTCAAGATTCCCTTTCATTTTCTTCTAGAGTATAATCAAACAATCGTTTTCTTTCTAGTTATAATGCTAACTAATTATGAGATCTCTTTTTTTTTAACATATTTTGCAAGGATAGGTTTTGAACCCTGCCGGGGGAGGAGGAATGCACTGTGGCTATGCCACTAGGCCTTAAGGGCCAGTGCAACTAATTATGAGATCTTAATCTTATTTAAGTTCAAAATTTAAATTTTAAAATTAACATTTAAGAAAATTGATTTTTTTAAATACATCAGATTGATTTGAGAATGGACTTTAAGATTGTTTGAAAAAAATTAGTTTTATAATGTATAAAATCTAATATGGAGATACCTTTACTATAAATACTAATATACATACATAAAAAAGAAAATAAGATTATGGGTGATATTATAAGGGTATGACTAAGCACTACTAATAATTTGAATTTAACAATAGAAAATTTCAAAATCTTAGTAAAATTATTGGAAATAAGGGGTGAAGAGAGATAAATAGCTCTAAATAGCTAGTTTTGGTATAATTGTGGAATTAATTAAGCATACAGTATTGTGGCCTGCTGGTGGGAGTAAGAAAGGAGAGGTAGTTCCATATACTTTCAACCTTCAGCAGCAGGCCTAATTTGAATTCAATTATACTCCATTTTCCACAAGGAAAAAACCATGTAAACTTTAAAAAGTTAATGTTGTTTACTTCAGGTCTTCCCGTCATGTCTTCAGCATTTGTCATAGTTATTTCATGTCTTTAGATTCTCCCCTCTCACATTTCTTTAACCAAGACCAAGTTTTATAGCATTGATGAGTGAGATAAAACCATTTCCTTACCCCGACCATACTGTAGAAGTTGAATTATAATTATATTTTATACAAATAAAAATCAGATTGAGGCTGTTGTCATTATTAATTTTATTAAATTATTAATTTTAATTTTTTAAATAATTAATTATAATATTTAAAAATATTTATTTATAAATTAGGTATAATTTATCAAATAATAAATGTTAATTATTTTATTAATTATTATTTATTTTTAACAATAAAATTAAAATAAAAATTTAATAATTTTAATAATTTTAACAAAATTAATGACTATCAAAATTATAACCCAAAAATCAATGGCAGTGGCAACCGTATGCTTTCTTGGAAATTTGTCACCTTTTTGTGTCACTCTCCCCCTTTTTTTTTTTTTTTTTTTTGGTACTTGGCTGCTGCTCGTTTTTCTGGCAACAGTGCAACACAGCAGGGCAACAGACCTACTTTGGATGGATTTGGTGGAATTTGACTGGATTCGTTTTTTGTTTTTTGTTTTTTTTTTCTTTCTAACAAGGGTAATAATTAAGAAGTTAATAGAGTTAGTTTGTTAGTAATTGAGATTTCTCAGAATAATGAACATTCCGGCCCTCATATGAGACGCTCGAAGCCTGATCTCCGTTTCACCCAACCCTTAAGGCTTGGATACCTACCATTGAGCCTCAGGCCCAATTGATTCGTTTTTTGCTCTTGAATTGCAATAAATGATGGAAGGCTTCTATGTTACTATAAAAACCAATTGTCCAAATTTCGACAGAATTAGGGACCAAAGATGGATGTTTTTTAAGTATTTTGGTTGCACGCTTTATCAAGTATTATCGGATCATACAAAAGAAAAAAAATAAGATACTAATTTTTGGAGATTAACCTTGTAGGGTGGTAATATTTACGTGGTATGGTGGGAGAGGACTATTATATTTATCAATCTGCTTAGTACCATAATCGAATTTATTAATGGTTGAAAAAGTTCAGAAAATAATCTTTTACACCCTAAAAAATTATTAACGATTGAAAAACCTTAAAAAATAATCTCTTATAACTTCTATAGTTATATTTTAGTGTCTTATGTTTAAAGGAATTATATTGAAAAGATATTTAATAGTTATATCTTAAATTTAGATATGACTATAATATTTATATAGGTATTTTATTATTAACACTTTAAATGCATTAACTAAATTAATTTAAGTTATAATTATAACTTGTATTGTAATTTATGCTGTTTTGTTTTAATATGCTGCCTATGTGGTAAGCCATACATTTACTATAGTTCTTCTATTATTAATATATCCTTAGTTAAAAAATGAAGAAAAAAAAAAAAGAGGAATGCTCTCAACATGGATGAGTTACTTGACCAAAATATGTAGGCTGCCTTTGATGACCGGCAACTGCTCCAGCTGGAATTAAATGCCTCTGTTTGAAACAAGTTTGGTAGGATCTAAACTCAAATTAAGTGTGCTTCCCAATTACCACCTTTTTTGTGTGTCTATAAATATACACGTAAGTAGACATTTGAGGAGAACAGGGTAAGGAAAAATGGGTGAAGTTATTGAAGTAGGCTCTACTCCAATAACCCCAAGGGCGGCCTCCGTAGCTCCAACGCCGCCTATTTCAGCTCCTCCGTCGCAGTTCCACTCCCCTTCACTTTCTCGATCACCGCTTCTCGCCCTGGAGGATCATATCCAGCCTGCAACCAAAACACCTAAAAGCTCCACACCCAAAATCTCAACCCCAAAAATCCGAACACCAAGGTTTATTACTCCCCTTGGAAGCCCCATCAGGAGAGCTCTTCACCTCACCAAACTTGACCCTCAGGATGCTTGGCTTCCCATCACTGAGTCCCGGAACGGAAACGCTTACTATGCAGCGTTTCATACTCTCTGTTCTGGAATTGGTATTCAGGCCCTCATCCTCCCTGTTGCCTTCACCATTCTTGGATGGACTTGGGGAATCATAAATTTGACAGTGGCTTTCATCTGGCAACTTTACACCCTCTACATCCTGGTGCAACTCCATGAATCTCAAGAAACCGGCATGCGTTATAGCCGATACCTTCAGCTCTGCTCTGCAACTTTTGGTAAGGAATCAATCTATTTCATTTGTTTCAGTTTAGTAATTTTATGAACTGTAACACCCGAATCTCATGTCAAGATAGAAGTGTAGTAGTGTTTGATATACAAATGAGCAGCCACTGCTTTTAAGGCTTGTGAACCTTGGTTTCAACCTGGGTCGTTTGGTGAGCATTTTTCTGATCACTTTCTTGCCATCCAAACAACTTCTTTTTCACAGGAGAGAAGTTAGCAAAATGGCTAGCCCTGTTCCCCATCATGTACCTATCAGGAGGAACATGCGTGGCTCTCATCATCATCGGAGGCTCCACTTGCAAGATGTTCTTCAACATCGTGTGCGGTGGCACGTGCACCACCCAGCCGCCGACCAGCGTGGAGTGGTACCTGATATTTACATCTGCCGCGGTTCTTCTTTCTCAGCTGCCCAATTTGAACTCCATTGCCGGTGTGTCACTGATCGGTGCCATCACCGCCCTAGGGTATTGTACTCTTATTTGGGTCATATCGGTTGCCGAGGGAAGACTCCCCAGAGTATCATACAATCCGGTGAAAGCAAATTCAGAGATTATAAGGATCTTTGATGTTCTCAATGCACTTGGAATCATTGCTTTTGCTTTCAGAGGTCACAATCTCATCCTTGAGATACAGGTAAAAATAAAACTATTTTTATTTTTATTTTATAAGTTTGTCTAATATATATTCTTAAATTTCATTAATTATGATATGTAAAATTAATTTTATATAAATTTTTATACTAAATTTATATATATTTTTTAAAATTTTAATTATAAATATTATATTTTAATATTATATTTTATATTTTATTTTAATTAAAATTATTATGAAAATTCAGGAAAAATTAATTATTAATACCTTAATTAATAAAACTTAATTTATACCTTTTACCACACATATTAGATAATCTCTTACTTTATTTTGCCAAAGTCCATGCATGTTTACTTCACATATGATGTGTTTGATATATAAATTTGAAATTAAAATTTAATAATTTTATTTAATCTGACAAACAAAAGTATTTTGAATTATTACAAATAAATATTAGACTATTAAATTAAATAAATTATTAATTACTAGGTAAGTTAAACTACTGTACATACCTTAAAACTACTATACCCAACGACTGTCAAAGTAATCATAAAGAACTAATTAGTTGTTGGGGTAAGAATTTCAAAGTAGAAGAAAATAAACTCTAAATTAATACTCTAGCAGCCAGCCACCAATAGTTGACCGTTGATTCTGACTTTGAAATTTTGTAAACACAGCCGTACAAGTTGAAAAATGGTCTCTTTAATTAATTAAATGTTGACAAATTTGACTGGTGGTTGCAGGCTACGATGCCCTCCGATGAGAAGCATCCTTCTCGTGTGCCAATGTGGAAGGGTGTGAAGGTTGCCTACACTCTTGTCGCCGCCTGCTTATTCCCTCTAGCCATAGGAGGCTATTGGGCGTACGGCCAGATGATCCCAAAGGAAGGTGGCATGCTCACTGCCTTGTACGCCTTCCACGGTAGGGACACCTCACAATTTCTCCTAGGATTAACCAGCTTATTTGTCATAATCAACGCAGTAAGCTCATTCCAAATCTATGGCATGCCCATGTTCGATGATATGGAGTCCAAAGTCGTCCATAGGACAAAGAAGCCGTGCCCGTGGTGGCTCCGAGCAATTTTCCGTGCCATGTTCGGGTACGGATGCTTCTTTGTCGCGGTGGCCATTCCATTTTTGGGAAGCTTGGCTGGTCTGATCGGAGGGATTGCATTGCCGGTGACTTTGGCTTATCCATGCTTCATGTGGCTTAAGATTAAGAAACCTAAGATGTATGGTCCAATGTGGTGGCTGAATTGGGTATTGGGGGTCTTAGGAATGGCCCTAAGTGGTGTTTTGATAGCGGCAGGGGTTTATGTTATTATTGATACCGGGATTGAGGTCAGCTTTTTCAAGCCACATTAATTAAATTAGTAGTGTAAAAAATGTGTGATTAGGTAAAATAAGTAGTTGTTATATTCATCAAGTGTAATTTTCATATCATTATTCCCAAAGAAAAAGAAAAAACAAAAAAAGATTGTATTATTGATTTTCAATCCATTTCAAGTTCTTCCCTTTTATGTATTCTTTTTCTTATGGCCCAATCAACCCTGACCAAATGTTAGAACAAGTGAAAATTAGAGCCCATTATATTTCCCTTCCCTTCAATCAACAATCAGGTCCATTCATTGTGTGGATAAACTAGCACAATCCATGGAAATC